TGATACAGCCGATAAAAATGAGCTGGGATAGCTATATGTATACAGAGAAAGCCTTTGCAGTTGAGTTCCTCTATAGAGGGCTCTATAAATTACTTGGTCTATACCATAGCAACAGCCCTCGCGCCTATTCTCCTCCCTGGGCTATTTCTCTCATACTCATCTAGAGTCGAGTCAACTACGATAATCGTTGGAATGAAGGCTTTGACATGAATGCATTGAGTCCACGTGTCTCTATGCTCGTCGGTTGCCTTTGGAAGCCCCTACGTGCATCAATGTCCACCTATTTTTTGCTCACACATCCCGTTTATATGTCTTCTTATGTCTTTTTCTCTGTGCAGTGGCCACCCAGTGGGTCGACGTGAACGGGCAGTGGCGCAGGAAGCGCTGCCGGCGCAGCTGCCCGAATTAAAGAGGGCGAAACGCATCTGGCTTAGTTTTGCGATAATTTATTCAATAATTTTCCATTAATTACATTTATGCACTATTTTATAGTATTCATGTGTCTTCATATGCAATGCGACATATTTATTTACTTTTTTTTTTGGCATTATTTTCCATCTGCCATTTCTTGGGTTTTTCTTCTTCGTTTCGGTTATTTATGAGGGGAAAGGACTTTGAACAACAATTCTCGTGATACGTATTTAAATGATATTCGCGGGGTGGGGGAGCTTCGGGGCCCACAGCGCTTTGGTAATATGTTTAGCAGTACGTTGCATATATGTATGTATGTTTGTATGTATATATATTTATAAAAATGTTAAAAAGAAATTGTAAAAAAGAACCAAACAAAGGGAACAAATTGAAAGCCCAAACAAAAACAACAAACAACACAGACGCTGATAAGGAATTGCCGGGGTCGCGGGGCTTGAGCGGGAGCGTAAGCGAAACACTTTGCGGAGGGATGGGGGGACATCGGCTCAAGGGCTGGGTAACACCTGTAGGAATACTTGATTGCCGGCTCTCGCTCAGTTTTGATATCACGCGCTCCAAGCGCACAGCAGCAGCAGCGGCAGGGGCAGCGGCAGCGGCAGGGGCAGCGACAGAAGCAGCGGCAGAGGCAGCATCAGCCACGCTGTGTGCTTGAAGACGGCGGCCACATTGCGAGCCTCGTCGTCCAGACCTGCCGGCGGAAATGAGAAATCGGAAATCGGCGTCAGTAATTGGCTTGAGAATTGTGGAGCGTACGGCAAAAGTGTGTGGAGCTTACCGCCAATGAAATTGAGGCTCTCATCGTTGCTGGCCGAGGCGCCCGGATGTAGCTTGATTTCTGAAACAATCGCAAGGTCAAAGGTTAGACAAATCGCAAGGGAATGGGGCAGGGGCCATGGGCCGTGGAGCATGGGAATTGTGTTTGTGGCGATAACGCATACGCACCGTATAGCCGTAACGTGCCCTCGGCACGGCCCAGCGAGTTTGTGCTGACGCAGTGATAGGTGCCCACATCGGAGGCAGAGAAGGAACGCACCACCAGCAGCATGACGCCGCGATAGCCATCGCGCTTTTCCGTGATGCCGTATTTGGGCCTGAATGGCAAATACGTTAGCTATGTTTGGCTAAAAATATTGGCCATCGGCTCAACCACTCACCCATCCAAGAGCATTTCGGGCCCGGGCGAGCCGGACTCCAGGCTGGACGTCGAGATGCTGGCGAACCCGTTCGAAGTGCGCGCGCCCTTCAGCCAGTAGGAGACGGGCGACGGCGAGGCCTCCACCTGGCACTCGAGCTGCACATCGGAGCCGAGCGGCGTGCCCAGCAGCTGGCTGGGGGCACGCACCATGGGCGCAACTGGAATGGGGGAATGACAGACGCAACAATGAAGCCCACTGATCCCACTGACACAGGCACAGGATACCTACACTGTACGCTTAGGGAGACGCGCTTGCTAACCGCCGGCGGCACGTCGTTGGAGGCGATGCAGAGGTATGCGCCCATCTGACGGCGCTCCAGGCGCATCAGCCTCAGCGAGGAGCCATTGTAGGTTTCCACTGTGGGCGAGGATTGTGATGGAGCTTAAGCTGTCGGGCAACATGATGTTGCGGCACTCACCTTTCATTAGCTCCCGGCTGCCCGGCTTACGAATTAGTATCATTTCGCCATCCTCACGCCGCCAGATGACTCGCGGCTGCGGATTGCCCGTGGCCTTGCACGTGAGCGTCGCATCCTCGCCCTCCTGCACGGCCAGATCGGCCGACGACTCCTCGTTACTAATGTCCGGTGGCACTGCGAACAACCAACATTGCATTACGTATACTCAAACATTCATTTCAATGGAGCAACTCTCACATACCTTGCACATCGATGCAGCCCACCTGCTTCTTCATGGGACTCGTGTTGATTTGGCACATGTAGCAGCCGCGGTCCGACTCCCTCAG